TGCACAAAATGATACGTGTTCTTTTGAGGGTATTTTATCAATGACTATTGATTCAACCTAGAAAGCAGATTTAATAATGACTGCTTTACTAAGTATGGGTCACAGTGAAGTCCCTGAACCAGCAATCTTCAAATGAGTAGGCTACACCTGTATTGACTCCTTTTCTTAAGACTATCTCTTAAGACTTGAGCTTATCAAAATGTTTATTTAAATTGGCAAAAGAGAAATTGTCGTTATTTTGTTACATTATTTCTAGCATTCATTGTTGGCATATCTTTAAATTTGTACTCTTATGAAGATGACTATTAGTTTAAGAAACAGCTTTTTTCTTAGATTTTAGGCTGTAAAGTGTACTTTTGATGTTTAGAAAAATGTATGCATTTGATTTTCAAATTATGCAATTAATAAATTGATCTTGTAGTTAAAAAGAAAAAACTGGAGTAAATATACAGTCACACTGATTTTTTGTGTACTTTTATCTTTAATATTTTACATTGTATTTTTTTATTCACTGATATTTTCCATTCAAAAATTTTATTTTAGGAAATCATACGAAAATAGTAAAGCAAATAAAAATTGAGTATAAATTTACTAGGTCCTGTCTGTTTTTAAATGACTGGATTATAAAGGACTGCACAATTCTAACTATTCAAAAAATAAATTTAGGCTTTTCCCCTCTGGAATAGGGTTGACAACCAAAAAAGGAAAGTTTAAAGTGGAACTGTGTTAAGAACTGTGAGGAATCTGAGATTTTATCTTACTTGCAAGCTAGTAAGTTGACCTGTAACAGTTTCACGGATGCTGGCAGAAGCCACAAGATTCCTGTGACAGAGACAAAGGACTTTATTACTCTCAGCAAAGCAGTAGACAGAAGTATCAGCATTTATTCCAATTCTCCAAGTCCCTGATCCCAGAAGGTGACACAAAGCAGTATAGGTATTATCTGCACATCTAGCAGGTTGTGTTACAAGAGGAGCCCTGAGCTTGGATCTTTAAATCTTTTCTCATGGGCAGTAAACAAACTCCAAAAAGACACTATCTTCATTTTCCAAGGCTATTCACTATCTAAACATACTTGAGAAGATAATCTGTAAACAAAAGACAATAGGGCCTTTCTGCAAGAAAAACCTGAGATACCTCTGGAGAACTGGCTCCTAGCAAACTGGTTTACACATTTCTGAATTCCGGTAAGTTGTGCTGATGGTTTTGTGAGGTAGTAGAGTGTGGATCAGTTTGAGAAAT